GGACGCAGAGGCTAGAGGAAAAATCCTCTGCCCCCATCGGGGATCAAACCCCGGCCGTCCAGCCCGTAGCTAGTCACTATACTGACTGAGCTATCCCGGCTCATGGACTAAATATATACATGTGAATTTAATATTTAGAGAAATCAAAGCACAATATTTGAATCTTGGAGAATTAGAATTAAATAGTCATCAGATCTTCTTTGGAGTCATGGGATTCCAGTTTGTTATCTCAGCATTGAGGCCTGACTATTCTGATTCATATTCTTCATGGTTTTCCTCAGTGCATCAAAGAAAATGCTGTAGTAGTATCACAAAATAGGCCATGGGTATACATTTCATACTACATAGCCTGTTCAGTTGATACAATACTAATAAACAACAAAAACATTCCAAGTTTAAAGAATATTTTATTTTCAATATGATCAGAATGAGATGATAGAAGACCATGTTTCTGTTATTAGTTTAATTATAGACACTGAATGTTAGAGACTAATACAGCAAATACAGTACGAGCCTGCTGTGAGAATATTCATTGTCCTTAAATATGTCAAACTGTGTGTAAAATCTTACTAATATCATGCCTGTAACTTTTGCAGACTGAATGCTTGATACCTCTACACTATTGCAAGTGTACGCTATACAAAATAAGTACTAACACATCCAGATGCTGGGAACAGCTTAAAACAGATGTACACTTTAAAGGTAATTTGCCCTTTTGTTGCTTCGTACCTCGTGTGTGTCTGTGTATGTTCGACGGTTTATCGGTAATAACTATCAGGAATACACTCGAACCCCATCTTATGCTAATCTGATACAGTTTAATGCAAGGTTTTGTGAATGTAGCGCATCAAGCCTGTCTGTTGCTTGTGAGATGTACTGACTGATCAATCAAGTGATATCATATTCCCTTATTGACGCATATATGTAAATGTGTGTGTTTGTTGTGTTTTACGTATTGACGCATGCATGCATTATTTGCTTATCTCTAACCACACCATAGAAGATTTAGAAGTGGATAATCTTGCCCATTGTACTTGACAGATTTAAATTTCTGTCATTATTTCTTATGAGACTTCTTAAAGGACGGTATCTGAGGAATAATTCGTTTTTGGTTAAAGAATGGAAGAGAGAAATCAAGCTTCTGTAGAGCGCAACACAGAAGAAACACTGATTGCAGTTATGGAAAATTTCATTTGACATCAGCAAATGGTATTGGATGCACAGGGATTAAATACTGAATATATTTTTACTTAAATAAGAATCTGCAAACTATTACATGTTCTGTGATACCAAATTCATTAATTTACGTGAAGTATATCAACAAATAAAGGTACTTAAAACTACACTTCGTATTTTATGACTCTATATGTACACTAATTTAGCGTACTTAAAGTTCAAGACATTCTCTAAATAATTCTATAACATAAAGGTGTGTTACGATCACATAATGAGGTTCAGAAAAGAATAACAACAGCTACATTTTTATCGCTGGCAAGTTACTTCAGTAAACTGCTATCAGAACAGTAAAGTAATTCCTGCGCTCAGTATCATTCAATAGACAGAGGTCAGCTTCATGCTTCAACTGTCTTGACGCCCAAAATAGTGTGAGCTAGCTACTGTTCTTTTGACAGGATGAAAACTCTGACCATAAATGAAACCCCCGGCAATACAGTCTATGGTCACATGATGTAGGAAGTGATTAAACTTAAATTTTTATCAATTATTTATTTTAATCCGTCTTATCACAATATTTAAAATTTCTTATAATTAAGATAATAAAATATCATTGATGTTCCATATCGATTGATCGGAACAATCACTCCTACATCTGTGGTATGTTTTATTTTAGATTTACTTTTATTTTATATTATTTTTATTTATATTTTACTGCTACTTTCTAACTATAATTTATATATTTTGCATTTTATTCTTTCAAATTCTTTAGTGTTTCTTTCAATCTTCTACTTACAGACCGATATGTACATCTGATAAAATTTAAGAAAAGACAACACCTCGCCCAAAAAACATGTTGTGTAAAAGATGTTCCAAAATGTAAATCGATCAATCGATATGGAACATCAATGATATTTTATTATCTTAATTATAAGAAATTTTAAATATTGTGATAAGACGGATTAAAATAAATAATTGTTAGAATATTCACAATATGACGCAATTACACTATCTTTTAAGTTTTTATTTTCATTACTTTACACATTTGTTTTTAGTACGAATAACCACGTAGACCTTCTTACTCTTGTTTGTGCGTAGGTACTTAAAGCTTTCATGGAATTAGGAAACCCCAAAAACTTGATAGCATTGGATGTGGATAGCTCGGACAACCTGACTGATGATGCCTTGCATAAGTTCCTGTCTCGCCACGGTCACCAGCTGTGGGGAATTGATTTGTCTGGTATGCCGCACATCACAGACCAACTGTGGCAGTCAGTTCTACCTGTTCTCAATAATGCAAAGTGAGTAACAGTGATTTGATTGGAAATTTATTAACGTCACTTCTTTTATACTTTTATTTGAAGCAGCATATTGCATGAGTCATATGTGCAAGTTCGGAGTGCTCATGGTGACACCTGCTGTCGTTCGAATGCTGCGGTCTATATGGGGAGACTAGCAATGAGTAGACTATTAACCCTCTGAGGTCCTATGTCGGACTTAGTCCGACATTTAAAAATCACAGGTAATTAAAAAAAATAATGAGTTGTTTTATTTTTCTTCGGTTACCAGGCTACGAGCAGTGTTTTTTGTGTGATCATCTGATAAAAATAATGTTCTGGCAAACACACTGTATCGTTACACTTGGCATATATTTGTTACCTTCCTTGTAATTCAGACAGAAAGAATAGGGGATGTGAAAGAGAATATCTGTTAATTTGTTCACAGCAATGGACAGCATAATGTAAATTTATTTTTAATTGAATGGTTACTAATTTTTTTTCTGTTTGGTTTAAACAGGATTGTGACCATGGGCACCCAGGAACGTCTTGGTGTGAATATCCACGTAGATCAGCTGATGGATGGGATCGCTAACAACTGTCCAAATCTGGAGCGCTTGGAGCTGCGCTGGGATCCTGAGAACCTTCGATTCTCTGACAAGAGCCAGAAAGCCATTGACATTCTAAGAGTCAAATGTCCAAAATTGAGATGTCTTGTTCTCAGGTAATTTAATTACCTGTTGCTTTATGTTTCGTAACATGGCACAGGAATCTAGTTTTTGCATCCATCCATCGATACATAAGAGTATACCATTATCTCATATTATCATACCCTTAAAAATATAATTTATGTTATTTATTTTCGCTCGTCAGTTCCATTTATCTTTATATATTGTTCAGTCGAGGAATGCATCACTAATTATAATGACACAGTACTGTTTAGTGCATTTGGACACACAGACTTTGGTCACATATCACTAGGTGCTTATTGGTTGTTTGGTCTTGATTTTGTGTTACAGTCACGGGGTATGCGGGGACAGTAAGCTGCATTGTAATTTAGCACTGTGTTCACTCACTAGCTTAATTGTCATTTCACGAACACACGACGTATTTGTATGTCGGATGATGAGTGTTTTTATGGTGTGACCAATATGTATGAGAATTTTACAACTTCTTCTGGTATTCAACAACCCAGAGGTTTATCATAATAAAAATTCCTGACACAGACAGCTGTCCAGACCAGAAATACCTACATGGACATGCATTCACATATTAATTAACTAAATTTATAAAGCACATTTAGTCCTGCGAAGCTAATATTCAGTTAGCTAGTCAAGAAATTTGGGGTCCGCAGCGGCCGCGCGGTCTGAGGCGTGGGCCTTGTGCTGCTTGGTCGCTGGGACCGTGGGTTCGAATCCCACTCAAGCCATGGATGTTTGTCTGCGTCTTTCTGTGTCGTGCTGTCCTGTGTACAGGTAGAGGCCTTGCGATGGGCCGATCCCTCGTCCAAGGAGCCCTACCGAATGTCCATCGATCAAGCCAACGAAAAGTTGAGACCCGCAGTGCTCAGGCACTTGAAGAACGGGTCGTTCCCAGTATCCCAGTCAAGAAATTCTCCACCTTTTACATAACCTATAAGCGTACAGCTGGCATCATAATTTATTTCATTTGTAATCACCTTGTATTTGTTCATGTGTAGCTTTTTTCTGCCTTGTATTAACTACAATGATTCCTGCCAGCTTTCTATCTAATGAGGACATCAATATGTCTGCCTGTCTGTTTAGGGCTCAGAATGTAGTCTTGTAGATTACGACACCATGCGATCTTTTAAGGAGATTCTTTACATTTCAGCGAAGCATACTGCCTCCATCTTTTGGGTATAAGTGAAGCTGAAAACAGTGTCAGTCACCTATCAGACTACATAATGAAACAACCCAGAATACCACAATCTTAATAAAATGTTATCATCACAAACCTGTTCGAGGAAAAAAGCAAATTGTTGAATGTTCGGTATTGGAAACAGGTTGCTTGAAAATATATACATAAGAAACTATTGATACTGAAGATATGAATTCTGACGAATTTAAACTTTATATGCATGCATGAAGCCACGGTGGTCTAGCGGTTAGAACGCTGGCCTTGTAATCCTGGGGTCTCGGGTTCGATTCCCGGCGGTGCCCGAATTTATAACTTGTGTTGGGCAAGGCCGTGGTCTAGGCAACACGGAGTTTTCCTACGGGGGCTTCCCCGGTTTCTCCGTGGCATCCCAACAATTACCCCATTCACACACAGAAGAAGGCAATGCCAAACCACTTCTGGATCATCTGCCAAAA